AAAAATGGGAGAATTTGAAATTCCTCATATTTGTTTTTCTTATTTCACCTATATATTTTATCTTATCTCTTCATTCTTTTAATTATTGGATATTCAAAAATATTTTTAAAATTATTAAATATTATATTATATTAATTTTTAAAATTATTAAATATTATCTAATATTAATTTTTAAAATTATTAAATATTTAAAAATGGATTAATATTTATTTTTATAAAATTTAATTTAAAAATCTCAACATATAAATATATTTTTAAAATCAATTTTACTATGATGAAATCAAATTATCATATTCTACCTGTCAATTTAAAATTTAAGAAATTTGAATTGACTCATCCAAACAAAATATTTTAAGAATGATAGAAATTGAAATCAAAGTAATTCAAATACCAAGAATTTAAAATTCCTTGAATTTGTAAAATTCTTCATCCAAACACACTATTAATCTAAGCAAATGACATGATCATTGCACGTGATGAAAAAGAAGAAAATAGACCCCGAAGAAGTTGACAACACAATTTGAGATGAAAGACTTGGGTTAGTTGAAGTAGTTCTTGGGAATTCTTGTTGCTTATTCCAAGAAAGGCATATTTATCTCTCAAAGTAAATATGTCCTTGATCTTCTTAAAGAAACACGAAAGTTGGGATGCAAGACCTCAGGAGTTCCAATTGAATAGAATCACAAGATTGGAAGTGAAGAAAGTCCTCTAGTAGAAAAGTATCAGTATCAGAAATTGATAGGGAAACTAATTTACCTATCATATACTAGACTAGACATTGTTTATGTTGTGAGTATAACCAGTCAATTCATGAATAACCCCAAGAAAGGCATAGTTGATAGGATCCTTCAGTACTTGAAGACAAATCTAAGGAAAAGATTACTATTCAAAAGTGGAGGCACCATGTCTGTAGAGATTTAAATTGATTCAAATTATGAAGGGTCGATTACAAATAGGAGATGTACTTTTGGATACTATATAATCTTGGTGGGAAATTTGTTGACTTGGGGGAGCAAGAAACAAAACGTAGTTTGCTCGGACTAGGGCAGAAGCTGAGACTTGAGCCTTGGCATGTGGCATATGTGAAGGGCTATGGGTGAAAATTATTCTTGATTACCTCAAGATCAAAATAGATATACCTATGAAGCTATTTTGTGACAAGTTACCCATCAATATTGCTCACAATCCAGTTCAATACAACAGGGCCAAACATATTGAGATAGAGATAGACACTTCATCAAAGAGAAGTTAGACAATGGTCTTATTGTTACAACCCACGTCCCTACAGAACTCCAAGTAGTAGATGTAATTACTAAGGGACTTTCTACTAGTAGATTTTAGGAGCTTATAGGCAGGTTGGGAATGATTGATATTCATTTACCAACTTGTGGGAGTGTTGTAAAAAATGAGTATTTTGGGGATTTCATTTTATTTTGTAATTTTTCTTGATTTCCGTATTTTCATAGTTACCTTATTTAGGGACATGTGTCTCTATAATCAACGAATTAGAGATATGCCATAATAGTGTATATAAATGGGATCAACTCTTACCTTACAAGACAATTTTGTAAGGTTAAATTAAGCTCATAACCTGCTTTCTTAAGATGGTATCAAAGTTTATCATAGATTTACTAAAAAGGTCACCCACTATTTATCCACACACCAAGTCAACAGTATTGGGCATGAGGAGTGTATTGGAAGAAAACTCAAGTCACACATCGACTAGAGATAAGGCCAAGATAGAGTATATAAGTGGGGTCAACCTTCACCTTACAAGCAAGCCAATTTGTAGGGTTGAGTTAAACTCAAACCCACATTCTAAGAATCATCAATAGAATCTACAATTAGAATCACTAGCAATAGGAGATTAGGAAAGGCACACAAAGTAAAATTGTTGGAGTTGGAGATAAAGAAGGGAAAATGCAGTTTTAAAGAGAAATAATTATACTATTATCTTAACAATCACAAAATTGAAGCAAAGAAACTTGGAATCACTCAATATAATTAAGTAGATTACACATATTAAACAACTATACAAGGGAAAGAACAAGCTTTTAATTAGTCAAATAGAATTAACCCAATCATTGCTTAGCTATTTTCGGTTAACTTCTACCTATGAAGCATGGACAGCTATCCTATTTGAAGTGTCATAGTGTCAGACAAACTTCTGACACCTACACCTGCCCAACAGTTGTCTACATAGTTGTCAATTGCGGCTGGAGCAGCCGCTATCGCGGCCCTCTGGAGCGGAGCGACCCAACACCGCAATGGTGATGTTGTCGCGTCTCGGATTTCCGTCGCAGCTGGAGCGGCCGCGTCGGTCGCGGAGCGTAGCGTCCAAAAATGGCAGAATCGCACCGCATCTTGGACAGACCCTTCATTAAGGGTAAGTCCGTCATTTCTGCTGGGTTTTTCTTGCCCTAAATCTTCCTCTCCCTCTCGCGGAACCATAGTTGTTGGTTTCTGAACGTTTCCTGCTCCCTCTCCTCTCTCTCTCTCTCTCGGACTCGATTCTTTCTCTCTCGAGGATGACTGTCGGCACACTCCGGTCGTCTTCTTCAGGCGTCTTTGTTAGACGCTCCTCCAGTTCTTACGCACTTCGTCAGTTCCGACAGACGCTCCTTTAGTTTCGACGCTGCTCCTCCAGTTCCGACGTCGTCTGTCTTCTTTGTTTGTCTTCTCATCTTCTATTTTATAATTCAACACATTTTTATTTTTAATTTGTGATTAAATTTAATTCAGCAGTTTTTTTTTAATTTTTTATTAAATTTAATTCAGCAGATTTTTTTAAAATTTTTGATTAAATTTAATTCAGCAAATTTTTTTTTAAGTTTTGATTAAATTTAATTCAGCAGTTTTTTTTTTAATTTCTGATTAAATTTAATTCAGCAGATTTATTTTTTTTAATTTCTGATTAAATTTAATTCAGCAGATATTTTTTTAATTTCTGATTAGAGTAATTTTTTAATTTAATTCAGCAGATTAGAGTTATTTTTTTTGTAGCTTTTATATATATATTATTAATTATTTAATATATATAAATTAATATTAAAATAGCGGTTATCCCGCTCCGCGTCATCCCGCTATCTCGTTTTTAGGGTCGACCGCTCCGCTCCGCTATCTGGGATTGACTACTATACTTGTCTAACACATGTCTGACTCTTCTCATTGACCATCCAATTGAAAAGATAATTTTTGTTGGCTTTTGGACACTTAATGCAACACCTCTATACAAGCCAAACACTTGAGTCAACACTTCCATATGGATAGACAAATTAATATTATTAAAGAATATTCATGTTTTAATTTGCAGAAAAGTTGGCTTAAAATATATAGAATATTAAAAGTATTAATGTCTCAACAGGGTTTTAAAAATTGTTCTAAAACGCAAAAATCATCCACAACAAAATGGTTTCGCCGCATGATGATACCAAAACAGAAAAATATCGTGGAGTGAACAAAATTCACATGTATTGGCAGCAATAACAGAGTTCAAAAAACGTTTTATCCACAATAGAGATCTCTTTCGCAAAAAGAAGAAATCTTTCAAAGATGAGTACACAAATTGTACAGTTTCACTGTTCTACTAATATATATGTAATTATGACTTGTTTTGAATGTCACGGATTTATTATGAAATTTCAATTTTCAGTTTGCTTTCATGTTATCACATATAGGGTTTCATTTATACATAGTTTAATATAATTTTTCATTTTGGTAGCATCTTATGCATCTAGGTTTTACGATCTTGCAATCCCACCCCCTCTATCCCAATTCTAAGTAGGATCTTGACTACATTACTCATAACTATATGTTAAACACCGATTCTTAAGAAACTTTTGCCCCAGAACTACAGGATTGTGATCATTCATGATGATTTTTCCTCTGCATCCAAGGCAATGAACATTTAATATCAGGATGTCCATATTTATGGACATAGGTTAGAAAGACAAACTACAACACCAGTATTAAAAAAAAATACCTTTCCGTTCTTTCAAAGCCATATAAGCCACCTTGGCTGCACTGAGCTCTGCCTGCTTCTTGGATTTAGCTTCTTGCCCAGTATAAAGCTCCCCTTCTACCTCTACTTGTGACTCAAATATTGGCATATGGGCTTCACCAGATCTATTTGTGGTATAAATGGGTAAACGAAATCCTTCTTTTTGAGCCAATTCTTGTAAAAGATTTTTGTATAACCCAGCATGACCCTGAAATTTTTTGACAATCATATGAATTAAAGGAGCACCAGAGGAAAGCATTTAAGAAGTTATAGATTATTGAATAATTTATCTAATTCACAACAAGTGATTAAGACTAGCCTCTTCAACTCCGCCTGGTGATAATGATTTTAAAGCAACTTCAGCTGCTGCATGTTCAGCATCCTTCAATGTAGAATAGAACTTATCACTTTCATAAGTCTGTCCACCAACAGTGACTTTGCACTTGAAACGCATGGCATGAGGAGGACCCTCCCACTCAGAAGAATATACTGGAAGACCTAGATTCCTCTTTTGCAAATAGCTTTGCAGCTGGTTCTTGTACAAATGTAGCACATCTATGACAAAATTGAAAGTCAAAAAGCTACAAGTAATACTATCACAGAGTGATTTATCATTAATAAAATAATATAATGCCATCAGAGAGAGTGGACCAAACAAAAATATCAAATATGTTGCGTTGATATTATCAACTTCCTCTATGCATTTTTATTATTATGCCTGAGTTGATGTGTGTAGCCAACCTAATCTAGTGGGATAAGGATCAAATACGTTATTACTGTAGGCAACCCATGTCCAGAATGAATCAATACAAGTCCAATTTAAAAAACACATGGGCGCATCAAGGTTATCAATAATGGATAACGGTCTACGGCAGTAAGCCAAAAATCCGACATAAACATATGGCAGATGGCGTGACAGCTTATGACGAACGCCATGACGAACAAAAATAATATACACACACACACATATATATATATATATATTAAAAACAAAGTTTTAGGATGCATGACTTTAATGTTGGGTGCTTACTGCTTAACATTGTGCCATAAGTGAAACAGATTTGGGAACATTATGGGTTTAATATAGAAAACAACATAACAAAACATGATAATGAAATTCTAAAATACAGAGAACTAAATTCCAAAATTTTGAAAAACAGAGAACAAAAATATTGAGCAGATGAAGAACAAGAACAGTCACACAAAGAATAAGAGAGAGAGAGAGAGAGATGATGAACATCTGAAGAAATGAAAAAGAGATAAAAAAAAATAAGTAAAATAAAATGGAAGGAAGAAGGAAAAATAAAAAGAAAACAAAAAGAACTCTTATGGGTCGTCGGATTTGTTTTCCGGAAAACTTTCTAGAGCTCAAGCCGCCATGGTCCACGTTGCCGGCAAGGCTGGTGGCCTAAGAAGGTTCATGGTAGTTGTTTGTTCGCAACTTAAGAAAAGAAAAAAAAAAGGATGAGGAGGACTTCCACCATGAGACCCACGAAGCCATGGCCATGGCAGATATGGCCAGTGCAATGGCGGATTTCGCGGACACCACCATATAATGGAAAATAACAGATAGCGTATGGTGGAGGGGTTCAAAAACGCCACATTATACCTTTATGGCAGCACCATAACGGTTATTTGATACCACCCCATTTAAAATTTGAAAACCAAAATATTTTGATTGTGCTTGTATAAGACCAGTTTTATATGACAGGTTTGTTTAGGAGGATGCACTATTTTTGTGGGAGGAGTTTACAAAATAGCAAGTGTAAGCACAAATGACATTGATCATGATATTATAAATCTTGTAGCATTTAATGCATATGATATGAATCATAAATCATTTTCCTTAAATTTCCATGTTGACACACAAAAACATGCACCATGTCTACCTTGTCCAACAATTTTAAGTATTGGTGTCAAAAGAATTCAGAAAACAAAAATCAGGCCCTTTAGATTCTAATGCCCCAGAATAGTCTGTGGGATGCAACAATCACTAGGAGTGACATAGAAGCAGAAAATGCTGATAGCAGAGAAAAGAGAGGGGAACCAAGGTGTTATGCTAGGGAATATTACAGATGTCACTATTATCTTTCCTTCAAACGAAACCTGAATTGTTTGGATACAAGCTTTAAAGGACTTCTCCCAAAATCACTTCTAGCTTGTATCCAAACAGACCGTAAAACAAATTCAGTCTCCCCTGCACTCCTCACACAAAAAGAACCACTCTCCCTCCCTCAAACAAAGAAAGATTCTTACCCTTCTGAACTGAAACCAAGTAAATATCAATAAAATTCAATCAAACAAAAGAAAATATAAAGAGAAATAAAATCACTTTTTTTATCGTCCACTGTCAACGTGTCTCTCACAGGTGTTACTGTTACAGCGCCACTGATTTGCGAAGTTTGGCACGCTGGTTCCAATTTGCGTTGCAACACTCCACTGGTGGGAAGCACGTCATCAACAGCAGAGCCAGCATCAGAAGGACCTGCATGTCCAAATTAACACGAATCCCTGAGAAGAGAGGCTCAATTTTGCACCACGCAAGGGAGCGCGAAACAATAAATAAGAACACGTGGAAAAAAAAAAAAAAAAAAAAAAAAAA